CTGCTGAGGATTTGCCTCCGGTGACTTATATACAAAGACAATAACTAAATTTAGGATCTCTATTTTGATTATCAGCTCTTCCTCCATATCGTTTGTGGTGTTTAGCAGTTTAGTACAGATGAATGTGTCTTTGATGTACAGGCTGACCCCCCCCTGTACCCAGGTGTTTCCTGTGATTGTGAGCAGCTCAGTGGTGTGAAATACTTTCATATTGTCAAAGTTATACATAATTAACACCACCTTTGACACATGAATACAACTTGTTCGAACGATAATAACGAAATAATCAAAACAGAAAAAGAAGGAAAAGAAAATAATGAAAATAATAATGATAATAATAATAATAATAATAATAATAATAAGATAGATCTCGGGTGTGATATCACGAGGCTAGAGACTCCTCCACACTTGTCAACTGATCCAAGAGCTCACAGTGACCCACAGGTGATGTAGCATTCCCAGAAGGCAGGTAAGAACAGTGACCCAAATGTAATTGAAACTAACGCCCAGAGCTACCCAAAATATTCCATTTCAACTTCACTAACATGTTGCTCCTTGGAAGAAGTGTGCTGTTAGATGTTGGTGTGCTGGTACGTTGCTTCTGTCTCGACGAGTCTTCCCCCATATTTTCTGCTACCATGCACACCAAAACTAAGTCCATGAAGGGTAATAAGAAAGCCAGCACACCCATTAGGAATAACCAGGCTAGCCAGGCTAACACCAGTAGTAGTGCAGCTGCTCCCCCTCATAGCCGCTTGACCAACTCTCCCCTAAACAACACCTCCACCATCTCAGTTGGGTGGCATAACGTCATCGGCGTGTTCGACTCGGTCCATGCTACAATTTAATCAACATTTGGAACACCTTAAACGAGCTGTTGGCCGTTGTCCCGACTTGAAGCGCTTCACTGAGAACCCATGGTTCAGGTTATTAGCCCAGATACTTGAAGGCAATCGACGATAATTGAAGAGTAGGCGACCCTAATACGGAGCCTGCAAACCGGCGCTAAAGCCAGTCTTACGGAAAGTCAACAACTCTCTGTCAGAGTTGACCTCCCTGAACTAAGCTCTCTAAAGGACACAGTTACACAACTGAAACCCGCAGAAACCATCAGATCACTTGGTAAACATGTTGATGATATAAATGACTCAAAGCACTAGGTACCAAACTATTGTTATTTATTTTTACAGAAACATGGCTAAGTAAAGTCCATACCCAACTTTACAGCTTAACCGGTTATAAAGCCATTCACAACTGCAGGCAAGATAAATATGAAGGGGCACAGTTATCTATCATAAAAATAACATCATTTGCACCAGTGTCATTAGCGATAGAGACGACTACTGTGAATATACCTTTGCTCAATACTCGATCAAATACCTGAAATCCTCACTATCTTTTAGAGTCATTTATAGATTTTCTAATATTAATACAACTACATTCTCAGATAACCTAAAAAATCTAATCATATGCAACAAACTCAACAAAAATCACATCATCCTAGGAGGCGACTTCAATATTGACTTTTGTCAGCAAAATAGCTCCCCAGTCGACTACTTTATAAACAACATGAACTTCTGTATGTTAATCCCCACAATCACCAAGCCCACCCGAATCACTCAACCTTACAACTTTCGAGCACATACGGACTGAGTAACATAACAGCCCCCCTTGCCTCTTGTATAATCACTGACTGACTGACATAACACCTTTGGATACCATGAAACTTACCATCAGACTACACAGCGAAGCAGTAATAGGCAGTCTCATAAATGCACTTCACAATATAAACTGAGAATCTGAATTCAATAATAAACAGGATATAAATTCATTTGCCGACATCTTTCTTTCCTAAACTCTAAGCCTCTACAACACACACTGTCCTCGTCTCTAAGCAAATAACTGCCAAATGGTTAAACAACCCCTGGCTCACAATTTGCATACTCAAACAATAAACAAGAAACACATATATGAAAAAACATAGGATTGTCCTAATTACAAAAGAAGTAGTCAGGAGATACTCATCAATGCTTAACAGAATAATAAGAAGAGCCAAACTTTCCTTTTATGAGAGTAGATTCAAAGAAGCAAAAGCAAACATGAAAGGTACATTGAAAGCCATCTCTAACACCCTAGGGTCTAAACAACAATCACATAACAAACAGAAACTCTTCAAGGATGGTTACACACTTGCAACGGACTTAGAAACGGCAACTGAATATAATAGCTTCCTTTCTTCGATTGGGGCTAACCTTGCCAGAAAAATCCAAATGTCCCAAATACTTGTTTCACTAGCAGCTATCCTAACTCTCTACTCCTTATACCTGTCAACCCGACAGTCATTATATCCACAATTCTATCACTTAAAATCAAAGCTGGGAACATTAGTGAAATACCATCTAGGATATATATGAGTGCTGCCCCTGCTCTTGCACTACCCATAGCTCTGCTATTTAACATATCTCTAGAGTGTCATACTTTTCCAGTTATCCTTACAAAAAACAAGAGTAACGCCAGTTAATAAAGAAGGCGATACAGTTGATATAAACAAATATAAACCGATATAAAATCTACCTATATTTTCAAAAATATTCGAAACAATTACAAACAGCTCTACCTCTCTACCTAGTAAAATTCAACATGTTAAGTCCCTGTCAGTTTGACTTCCGCTCCCAAAAAAGTACCACGATGCTATTATTAGTCTGCTTGATATAATCTACACAGCCCTTGACCAAAGTGAGTTCCCATTTAGGCTCTTCATTGACCTGAAAAAAGCCTTTGATACTGTAAACCATAACTACCTCTTACCTAAGTTTAACCATTACGGATTCCGAGACCTTGCACTGAAGTATATTCGATCCTATCTTAGTGACAATCAACAGGTAGCCATTATTGATATAACCTCCCCCCCCCACTCTATCATTAACCATTGGAGTGCCACAGGGCAGCATCCTAGGACATCTTCTATTTCTTATATACATCAATGATTTGCCAAATGTCTCTAACATTCTTAAACCTATACTATTTGCTGACGATACTACCTTCATATATTCAGACCCCAACCCCCACAATAAATATTATTGCAAATAACGAATTACAAAGTCCGAATTACAAGTTCACTCATGGATGTCAGCCTTCAAACTCACACAAAACATTGGAAAGACTTACTACATTTTATTTGGAAGAAATCACCAAACCCAATTTAACTTCAGAAAGACAACATTAAAATTAGCAATAAAAATAATGGAATGTTAGTTGGCTTAAAACATATCAGATATTATGTTCCCCACTCTGCTCTTGTCTCATTATACTGCTCGCTAATATATCCCTATCCTGCGTACGGTATCTGTGCACGGCGGGTTATATCCCTATCCTGCGTACGGTGTCTGTGCATGGCGGGTTATATCCCTATCCTGCGTACGGTATCTGTGCATGGGGGGTTATATCCCTATCCTGCGTACGGTATCTGTGCATGGGGGGTTCAACCACTGCAAATTACCACAAGCCCATCATCACTCAGCAAAAATCTGCTATCAAAACTATAACAATATCTTTCTGTTTATTTTTGTTTAATTTTTTCACGTTTATTTTATTATTTTATTATGTTTATATTTCCACGGAAGTGTGGATGGCAATTTATGTAACATTGTCTGTCTTCAGACAACACACAACACCTCTGTTTAAATTCCTTAATATGCTAAACATATTCACACTCCATAAATTCTCTTGTGCTATTATCATGTACAAAACCTTGTTCCTAAATGTTAATCCTGATCTGAAACTCATCCTTGACAGATGTAATAGAACCCATGAGCACCTTACTAGAAACATCTATCTGGTAGATATGATAGTTATCTATCTATCGATATCACAGAGTCAAACCAAATCTATGAAAACACTATGAATTAAGGGGAACTAGTCAATGGAAATCACTCCATAACGAATTAATAAGCTGTCCAACCTACGCCTTATTCAATAGTAAAACCTATTATTATTTCTATTATTATTATTATTATCTTTCCACTGACACAGCCTGCATCTACTCAGTCTTTCCACTGACACAACCTGCATCTACTCAGTCTTTACACTGACACAGCCTGCATCTACTCAGTCTTTCCACTGACACAACCTGCACCTATTCATTCTTTACACTGACACAGCCTGCACTCACTCTTTACAATAGCACATCATGCACCTATTCACTCATACTACTGGCACAACCTGCATCTACTCAGTCTTTATACTGGCCCAACCTGCACCTACTGGCTCTTTACACTAGCTCAGCCTGCACCTACTCACTCTTAACACTGACACAACCATCGCCTACTCATCCTTTACACGGGTTCAGCTTGCACCTACTCATTATTCACACTGACACAGCATGCACTCATTCTTTACACTAGCACAACCTGCACCTATTCACTCATAACACGGGCACAACCTGCACCTACTCATTCTTTACACACACTGACACAGCATGCATCTACTCACTCTTAACACTGGCACAACCTGCACGTACTCAGTCTTTACACAAGCACGACCTGCACATACTCACTCTTTTCACTGGCACAGCCTGCACCAGCTCATAACTCTAACACAACATGCACCTACTAATTCTTTACACTTACAAAGTCTGCACTCACTCTTTACACCAGCACTACCTTCACCTCTTCACTCATAACACTAGCCCAACCGGTACCTACTCATTACTTACATTGGTATAACCTTTACTTACTTACGGTTTTCACTGGCACAACCTGCACCAACTCACTTTTTACACAAACACAACCTTCATGCACTCTGATACAGCCTGCACCAACTCACTCCTGTCACAAATACACGATCCAGCTTCTCTGTATACTGATGCAACCTGCATCTACTGTGTTAAGGCGGGCGGCACCTATTTACTCTTTAAACGGAGTCAACCTTTACTTACTCATTCTTTACAGTAAGACAGGCAGCATCTACTCTGTTTACTGACACAGCCAGTATATACTTACAATGGTCACTGAGAGCCTCCCGCAGTTCACTGTGAACACTGACACTAATATTTTCACACTGACATTTCTGACAGCTCATTATAAACGCCGCTATCTCCAAGCCTTTCCTGTGGTGCTCAGATAACTCACACAATACAGCCTCACTCCCCCTCAAGTAACTCCTCATCACTCCTACCCAAGTAACCCTTCATAACTCTTACTCTTCTACAGAACATTCTTCTTCACTAAACATCATAACAAACATCCCCACTTCTCAAGACAACACTCATGTCACGGGGCTGTCATGTATTCTATTGTCTAGGTGAAATAAGGCTTTTACTTCAGATAATTAGAATTCAAGGAGTACAGTAAAATCACCTCATTCTTTGAGGCCACACGTGAGGAACTAAATGAAAACAAGCCTGAATGGTCCCCAGGCATATATGCAACTGAAAACTCACACCCCATAAGTGACTCGAACCCATACTGCCAGGAGAACTTTGCAAATGTTGTACAGGGCCCCTTAACCACTCGACCATCATAACAGGACAAAAGATGATGGTAGCCGAGACTAATTCCCCATTATCCCGCTGTCACTCTGATGGTAACCTTGGGCATGCAGGTATTTTATCAAATCACCTCATTCTTTGGGGCACACGTGAGGAACGCAAATGCGAACAAGGCTGAATGATCCCATGGCATATATGAACCTGAAAACTCACGCCCCAAAAGTGACTCGAACCCATACTGTCAGGAGCACTTTGCAACTGGTGTACAGGACCTCTTAACCACTCGACCATCACGACCGGACAAAAGACAATGGTAGCCGATGCTAATTTCCCTTCATCCAGCCGCCGCTCTAATGGTAATCTTGGGCATGGTATTTTATCTAATCACCTCATTCTTTGGGGGCACACATGAGGAAGACAAATACGAACAAAACTGAATGGTCCCCAGGCATATATGCAACTGAAAACTCTCACCCCAGAAGTGACTCGAACCCATACTGCCAGGAGCACTTTGCAAATGGTGTTCAGGATCCCTTAACATCTCGACCATCACGACCGGACAAAAGATGAATTTAGCCAAGCCTAAGTCCATTTCATCTAGCCGGCACTCTGATGGTAATCTTGGGCACTGTATTTTATCAAATAACCTCATTCTTTGGGGCACACGTGAGGAACACAAATGCGAACAAACCTGAATGGTCCCCAGGCATACATGCAACTTAAACCTCACACGCCAGAAGTGACTCAAACCCATACTGCCAGGAGCACTTTGAACTGGTGAACAGGACCTCTTAACCACTCGACCATCACGACCGGATAAAATAAGATGGTAGCTGTGGTTAATTCCCCCTTCATCCCTCCGGCACTCTGATGGTAATCTTGGGCATAGTATTTTATCAAATCACCTCATTCCTTGGGGCACACGTGAGGAACACAAATGCGAACAAGCTTGAATGGTCCCCAGGACTATATACAACTGAAAACTCACACCCCAGAAGTGACCCGAACCCATACTGCCAGGAGCATTTTGCAACAGGTGTAAAGGACGTCTTAACCACTCGACCATCTCAACCGGACAAAAGATGATGGTAGCCGAGGCTAATTCCCCTTCTTCCCGCCAGCACTCTGATGGTAATCTTGGGCATAGTATTTTATCAAATCACCTCATTCTTTGGGACACAAACACACATGATGAACACAAATGCGAAAGAGCCTGAATGATCCCCCGGTATATATGCAACTGAAAACTCACATCCCAGAAGTGACTCGAACCCATATTGCCAGGAGCACTTTGAACTGGTGAACAGGAAATTAAAAATGATATATATATATATATATATATATATATATATATATATATATATATATATATATATATATATATATATATATATATATATATATATATATATATATATATATATATATATATATATATATATATATTATATATATATATATATATGTTTCATTGAATATGACCGCATATTCTGTATTTATTATTTTCTGGTTTAGGGCTTCTATCCCTCTAACTATTTTCTTAGCATCAGGGCTTAATTGAAATAGGAGTTCTCCAAAACTCATTTTCGTACTTTTAAGGTGAAGAAAAGAAGTGATTTACTATAGAGTGTATTACACTTATTTGTATAATTTGCACGACGTTTCGAACCTCCATGGTTCATTCTCAAGTGAACAGATCTTACAATACTAGTTGATTTTATACCCGCATTAGGTCAGGTGATAATACAATGAAGGTGAAAACATGGGGGGATACATAAGGGATAAACATAGGGGCTGCAGAAGGCTTATTGGCCCATACGAGGCATCTCCTATCTAAACACAAAGATTAATCCAGTGTAATTGGCCTGTTATGTTGGACATTGTCTTCTGTGTTGGCATCGATATGTTCTTGTCTTGTCCTTACTCTCATGGTGGGTAGAGTAAATAGTTCCGTGATTTGGGTGTTCATGGTAGGTCGCTCTATTCTTATGTGAATTGCCTCAAGAATTTGTAATCTTCTTGAATCTTGGGTTTTGTCTATTATGCAAGTATTCTTGTTCAACATTTCTCTTGTTAGAGTAATGTCATGGGCTTGTCTCATGTGATTCCTAGGGGCACCAGATTGAAGATGGCATGTCAAACGCCTCGTCAGCTTGGTCGACGTCATACCTATGTACTTACATTGAAGGTTACATCCTTCGTGGGGGCAAGTGTACATGTATACAACGCTTGACTGCTGTAGAGGGTTCTCCGTCGGCTTCGGGCTGTTTTTGATAAGGAGTTCGGAAGTCTTCTTGGTTTTGTAGAATATTATCAGGTTTATGTTTTGGTTAGGAGTAGTGCTTTTTACTCCTTTACGGATTATTTCTTTCATTATTCTTTCCTCTTTTATATGTTCACTGTGCATGGTTGATTTGTAATATAATTTTATTGGGGGTGTTGTGGTTTCTGTTCTAGGTTCTGAATTATACCAACGGTCCAAGTGTCTTCTTATAGCAGCGTTTATTTCCGCGTTGCTATATCCGTTGTTCACCAATACCTGAGTTACTCTTTCAAACTCTCTACTCACGTTGCTCCATTCAGAGCAGTGGGTAAGCGCTCGACGAATATAAGCATTGAGAACACTGGCTTTGTATCTTTGGGGGCACTCACTTCTACCGTTCAGGCATAATCCTATGTTGGTGGGCTTGGTATATACGTTGGTGCTTAAAGAGGTTCCTGTTTTTGTTATTAGTACATCCAAGAATGGCAGACTGTTATTTTCACTATTTTCATGTGTAAATCGGAGTACTGACTCTCTCTCTAGGTGTCTTTTTAGGTCAATTAGTTCATCTGAATCTTCAGATGAACTAATTGACCTAAAAAGACACCTAGAGAGAGAGTCAGTACTCCGATTTACACATGAAAATAGTGAAAATAACAGTCTGCCATTCTTGGATGTACTAATAACAAAAACAGGAACCTCTTTAAGCACCAACGTATATACCAAGCCCACCAACATAGGATTATGCCTGAACGGTAGAAGTGAGTGCCCCCAAAGATACAAAGCCAGTGTTCTCAATGCTTATATTCGTCGAGCGCTTACCCACTGCTCTGAATGGAGCAACGTGAGTAGAGAGTTTGAAAGAGTAACTCAGGTATTGGTGAACAACGGATATAGCAACGCGGAAATAAACGCTGCTATAAGAAGACACTTGGACCGTTGGTATAATTCAGAACCTAGAACAGAAACCACAACACCCCCAATAAAATTATATTACAAATCAACCATGCACAGTGAACATATAAAAGAGGAAAGAATAATGAAAGAAATAATCCGTAAAGGAGTAAAAAGCACTACTCCTAACCAAAACATAAACCTGATAATATTCTACAAAACCAAGAAGACTTCCGAACTCCTTATCAAAAACAGCCCGAAGCCGACGGAGAACCCTCTACAGCAGTCAAGCGTTGTATACATGTACACTTGCCCCCACGAAGGATGTAACCTTCAATGTAAGTACATAGGTATGACGTCGACCAAGCTGACGAGGCGTTTGACATGCCATCTTCAATCTGGTGCCCCTAGGAATCACATGAGACAAGCCCATGACATTACTCTAACAAGAGAAATGTTGAACAAGAATACTTGCATAATAGACAAAACCCAAGATTCAAGAAGATTACAAATTCTTGAGGCAATTCACATAAGAATAGAGCGACCTACCATGAACACCCAAATCACGGAACTATTTACTCTACCCACCATGAGAGTAAGGACAAGACAAGAACATATCGATGCCAACACAGAAGACAATGTCCAACATAACAGGCCAATTACACTGGATTAATCTTTGTGTTTAGATAGGAGATGCCTCGTATGGGCCAATAAGCCTTCTGCAGCCCCTATGTTTATCCCTTATGTATCCCCCCATGTTTTCACCTTCATTGTATTATCACCTGACCTAATGCGGGTATAAAATCAACTAGTATTGTAAGATCTGTTCACTTGAGAATGAACCATGGAGGTTCGAAACGTCGTGCAAATTATACAAATAAGTGTAATACACTCTATAGTAAATTACTTCTTTTCTTCACCTTAAAAGTACGAAAATGAGTTTTGGAGAACTCCTATTTCAATTAAGCCCTGATGCTAAGAAAATAGTTAGAGGGATAGAAGCCCTAAACCAGAAAATAATAAATACAGAATATGCGGTCATATTCAATGAAACATATATATATATATATATATATATATATATATATATATATATATATATATATATATAACCATCTATGTAACCTATATGTAACTCCTTTTTTGTAACAAGGTTCAAATAAAGTAAATATATATGTGTACATACAAAAGAATAGGGGTGGTAGGAGAAGATAATATTAGTGTTCAGTGAGAGACCACAAGGTCTCCTCTAAAAAAAAAAAAAAAAATATATATATATATATATATATATATATATATATATATATATATATATATATATATATATATATATATATATATATATATATGCGAACAAGCCTGAATGGTCCCCAGGACAATATGCAACTGAAAACTCACACCCCAGAAGTGACTCGAACCCATACTCCCAGGAGCAAC